CTTCAACCAATCCATGAAATTGAGCCACTGTCCAAAAATGTATTCAGTGAGTTACTATCTGATAACAGACCTGGTTGAACTCCACTGGTCACGGTTTCTAGGTTTTTCATGGTGACATATCTCATGAATTCAACTAATAAATTAGTAGAGATTAGTTTAATTTCATTGGTTTTATAAAAAAAACATTAATCGGTCTACTTTGTTTACGCTTAGCATTCAATAAATCTATCGGCAACACTAATTTATGGACGACCTTTGAACGAGTCTTAAGTGACCTTGAGAAATAATAGCCAATCAGCAAGCAGTCAGAATAGGGTAAAAATTTGTTATACAAAACCAAGGAAATAAAGTGTATACACTTTTTATACGTGGTTCAAAAACTTGTCAAACTTAGAAAGAGGTTTCGAGGTTGTAAAATCGTAAATCATGAAGTAGAGGAAATCATCCATATGGCTACAGAATAGTCGGCATCTAGAGCCATGATAAAGTCTCAACAACTCTTTCAGCCTCTACCACATAGCTTCAATATTGTTTATGTGCACCCCGGTTGTTGATCGCACAAAACGCTACTAGTGGATAACGACACGATGCACATAACCAAACATATGTAGGAGTCTGTACACTCTCCAAACATCCGTATATATTGTAGTACCTGGCTGCAGCCAGTGTTACAGGTGCTTTTATTATCCATTTCGCTATGGTTGTCATAATTTGCCTTAGTTAGGAATTATATATGCGGTTTTCATTACGAACTGACATCAGCTATGATGCCAGCAGTTTGTTTAACCAAAAGGATTTAATTTAATTAATGTAGCTAATAAAAGTATAGTAGTTTTAGGAAAGTGTATTATTTTTCCATGGTTGATCATTAATTTCCTAATCTCATTACTATTTTAGAAATATAGCAACATAATATCAATAATCTAAGTGTAAATGTGTTGGGACCCGATAAACATAATGAATGGTAATTTTGGGATCCTCTATAATAATAATAATTAATAAATAAATAAATAATAATAATATTATATTCTGAAAAATAATAATTACAGAATTCACGCCAGTTTACAGGCACGATCAATTTGATATAAGTAAAAACGTTAGACATACAGAACAAGCATGTGATAAAAGAAAGTTCTAAGTATAATAGTTCAGTAGTTGTTTAAGTAGTACATATATTACAGCGATCCAAAGCATAAGCCGGGAATTTTTAATATTTCTTAAATGGACAGCCTGTTGATTTATTAACGGAGTAATTAAAGTCAATTCGTGTGCCAGATCGAATTAATGATAATTATCTACAACTAGAGAAATTAAAACGAAAACACAGAGCACGGTAAAACAAAGCAGTAATTACCAAAATATATCAATCAGGTCTACCTAAATGCGTGTGTCATGTGACACAATGATATACTGTTTGTGTTATTCAAATTAGGTAAAGTTGCTAGGGGCGGTGTTAACATATTGACAGCAAGTGCGTGGTTTTACTAAGGGAGTTCACTAATAAAGATGGCTAAACATTTAAAGTTCCTAAAATATCACTTGTGGAATGAGATACACTTAAAGGCGCTAGACCATTCAATGCATTTTCAGAGGAGCAGTATGCATCGATGCAGCGAACAAATAATGGGAGTGATTTTATCGTGCGGATAAATTGTGGTAGGTTATTCCATAGTCTAGAAAATTTACAGGTGAATTAATTCATATAAAGAGATGATTTAGAATGAGTTTGTTTCACTAGTGCCAAGGAATTACGGATGTCATAATGATAGGTTTCTGCATATTGAATCGCGTGATTGGATGTAAACGATAGTTCATGAAGTAGTTTGAAGAAAAACATAAGATTTAGTTTGAGTCTCCTCCTCCATAAAGGGTCTAGCCCAAGTTTATTACATCTGGAATTATAAGTTAAGGTGCAATCAGCTCCAAGAATACGAAGTGTAAATCGTCTCTGTACTGATTCCAGACTTAATTTATCCTTTATGAGCGCACTGCTAAGAATAAACGTGCAATATTTTAGAAGAGGTCGAGCACAAACTTTGTACATTAGAATACGTGACTCATTGTTGTAAAGATTTCGAGTTATGTAACCTATTAGACGTTGAGACTTAGAGGTCTGTTTTAATATATGTTCTGTAAACGACAAGTCTTGGGAATATCTAAGTCCTAAGTCTACTACTGTATGTAACTTAGAAAACACTTCTCTATTTATGGTAACGTCTAGGTTGAGCGATGTATCGCCGAAGCCTATCCATCCACATTTAGCCGTATTAAGCTCCAGTTGCCATTTTAAGCACCACTGTGCTACCTTGTTAAGCTCCATGCTGATGCAATTTTGCATATTTTTCAGGTCATGTGGAGAAAATGAATACACTTCTTTAAGATCATCTGAGTATAGAAGGGGCTTACTGACACAAAAACTTTCATAAATATCATTGATAAACACTAAAAAAAGCAAAGGACCTAAGACACTACCTTGTATTACTCCACTTCTAACAGGAACAGCGTTAGACAATGAAGAGTTAACTTTAACTATTTGATGCCGATTGCTGAGAAAGGAATCATACCAAACAAGCAAAGGATTTTGAACCCCATAAGATGCGAGCTTACCTATAAGAAGTTGGTGGCTAACCATGTCAAAGGCTTTAGAAATGTCCTGATATAGCACAAAGACTAGATATTCTTGGCTACGTAGAGAATAAACTAAATTAAAGAAGTCAAAATGACATGTCATGCAAGAACGATTTTTAAGAAATCCAGGTTGAGTATCAATAATAAATTTTCCAGCAAGTAAATAGTTGGAAAGTTCGTCACTTATAATTTTTTCCATAATCCTAGAAATAAGTGGAGTAATATTTATTGGCCGGTAATTGTTCATGTCAGTCTTATCTCCAGATTTGTAACGTGGTATGATGTACGCGGTTTTCCAATAGTAAGGGTAAGAACCGGTTTCCATAGAGAGAGTAAACAGCCTTAGAAGAAGTGGAATATCTGGACCACCATATTTGTAGAGAAAGGATGAAATCCCGTCTACTCCATGTCCTCTCGAAAGCTTAAGGGTATTTATAGCCTAATTAATTTTCATGCATGTGAAGGAGATAGATTTTATTGAGTTGCTAGCCACGCACATAACTCTTGAAGCAGAGCCACTTATGTTTTCTACACCATTCGCGACCAATACTAAACTCATATTTCTATTGTATAATTAGTAAATAACTAAGCTATTTATATTGATGTTCCTCTTACTATAAGCTTTATTTTGACTTATGAATCATTATTATACGTCTTACCATTCTTGAGTACAACCAGTATATTGATTACTACCTCCCTTATTCACAGCCACATCTGGCTAATTCTTGTACAAATGTTGTTTCGTATTTTATTGGTACGTTGTGGTCGGTTTGATTGGTATATAAACTCAGTATGCTTGAAATATAGTGATTCATACCTCAGAGGCTGAGACTTGTTCTAGACTTAACTGGTTGGGCTAGGCAGAAAGCAGGATCAATCAGCACTCTAGGTTGTTCTCACGTGTTTTACGCGTCTTTGATCCGATCGATAATTCGCTGCCATCTAATCTGCATCCGCAGTTATGAAAAAATGTATTCACTCTAAAAGTTTCTTCTGAAATCTTTTTCATATCTACATATAGTTTAATAGAAAATTGATCATTATCTAGAAAATCATTAAAAATTAACAAACGAAAGGGATAAATTAATGATATAGGAAAGTTATGCTTAGAAATTATTATTGATTTTAGCACTTTTGTTGTTGTTACACTATTGATTCATATGTTATATACAACTTACATAAAAAAAGATGTTAGAATTTACATGTTTCGTATAGACTGCTTGAAAGCAGTTTTGTCAATTCGTAGAGTCTGTGTAAAATATGGTTGTAGATGGATATTTTAAATTTCTTAAATAAATGACAAGTATTGTTTTATCAGATACAAACTGTCAATTTCATTCACATATTTCTTCTTGTATATCTTCTTGTGGATTGAGATGGGGATGCATTAGAATTTATAAGTACAAACAAAATTATATAATCTTTATAATATGTAGCATATGTAGCATATACACAATGAGATGAGCAGGTTGTAAGAGATGACCTAATCACTATTATATACATTTTTTTGCTTTCATACAAGTAGTTCATTTGACTTTACATAATCCTATTCACTTATTTCACAAATTTATATATATCAAAGACATATGAGAACAGTATTAGGCACTTACTGAAGTAAAGAAGGAACGAATTGAAAGGGATTTTGACGAAAAAAACATACAGAAGCTCTAAGAAAACTTAAAACTAATGACAATTTATTAATCACGAAACCCGATAAAGGACATGGGATAGTACTCATGGATAAAAGTAACTACATAAGCAAAATGAAAGCCCTTTTAAATGATAAAAGCAAATTTCAGAAACTGGCTGTGAAGAACGACGTAGCAGATAAGATTGAAAAGCAACTAACAGATTCACTGAAAGAAATTAAACGAAAAGGTGTTCGAAATGTTGAAACCTACAGGAACGATTACACTAAGATTATTGCTCAATTCGTTCCTTCTTTATTTACCAAATGGCAAAATGGGAATTTTCACTTACTGAAATACTGTATACTAGGAATTCCATGTAATTATAAACTAATATTGGATAGAGCCAATATTACTATTATTATGATTGTGAAAATGAATCATCATTTAAATGAATAAACGAAACAGAAAACTGATACCATGATCTATGTGTGTGTGTATATAAGAGGGAGTGCATATTGAAGTGAACAAACAATGTATATCAGAGAACATTTGATTCCCTTGTTTTATTTCAAATTATTTACAAAGTTTCATGTTTTATTTATTTATCGAATAATCAAATCAAATATTGATAGACAAATATTAGAAAAACTCTTACCAATGGTTTTTTTCTCTTCTGAGAACTTACACATAGCCTTATGTATAAAAATCATCGTAATTATGGAAATGGAATTACTGTATTAACGAAAGTATAGAGTAAGTAACTCATTGTAAATTGATAATGTTGCGATAAGCCAAAAATGTTGGTTATCTCAAATAATATTTATCTATCAGAATATTATTACAGATATCTTATGACATGATGTATTCTCTGTATACAGATATTTAAATAAAAATCATAGTTTTTCTTGGAATATTTATGATAATTTCAAGTGATACATGTGTTCATAAGTGATTGATTGTCAAAATGGAATTTAATAGTTGATATCATGAGTCAATTGAAGCTAGACTACTATGAAAAACTTGGACGGCCGTTTCGTCATATTGTGAGACTTCGCAGCAGTATGCGAGGCGGGATCATGTTTGCGCTTTACTGAGGAGTATCAAAATAGGACGAAACGGTTGTCCAGGTTTTCTATGATGGTCTAGCTTTGATGAGCTCATGATCTCAACTATTTAGTCACTATAATATCCACAAAACCCCTTTCTGATATTAAAATTGAATTTATCAATGCTTCATTGGAAAGCCAGTTATCTACGAAACTACATTGAAAAAAAATCACAGTTGACATGATATAGGGATAATCATTTAGATCGATGAAATTTACGAATAAACAGTACGATTTGAAGAACAGATATAAAAAGGCTAGAATTCAACCTATTAGTTAAGTATTAATTTCATGTGATCTATAATTTCCATATCCTCCGTAATCATTTAGTTGTTAAATGACTCCTAATCACACCTATTGTCGAATTGAATATTCTGTTTAGTTGGATGTTATTTTGTTAGAAGAACTCATTCTTCTAGCTTTTGATCTTGTCTATGATGCGAATCTAAAAAAAGAACTTGATTATGTGATTAATAATTTGTGATCAGTTGTTTTTGTTGAAACAATTGTTAAGTTTGTAATATATGACTTCATTATCCATATTGTAAATAGACACTGATAGTAATGGAGACTAATGTTTTGTATTTTATCATATGACTGTTTTCATTGCCCATCATCCTAACCAACTTTTTCAGTGACGTTATGTTACGATCGAAGATAAGATATGTGTCCGTCAATTCGAGTTAAGGATAATCATTTCCTTTCACTGTTCAATAAATGTGCTATATCTAGTGTCAGGATATGAGGATTTTTATTTCAGTCCTCTAAAGCTATCAACATATGTATTCTGTGAAGATGTCAAATTACTGGACTTAAAAAGCGAATACAATGAATGATAGTACTTAAAAGGAAGTCTTCAGTGGAAATTGTGGTTTTAGATGCAGCACTCATCCACTAAATGAACGAAAAAGGGATACCAAAAAACGCTTGATGCTATACACTTATCAAACACTAAGAAATGGGTGCTCTAGAAAATCATAAAAGTGTATCGTAACCTGAAATACATATAAACAATTGAACATTGTAGGTTCATTTTGAAATAATTTACGTCTTAAGTCAGTATTCAGGAAAACAGTTTTTATAACCCGTTTATAATATACATCATCTTTATGGGCACAAAATGCTTTACGTTATCAAGCAAGTGCTTCAAACATTTTTTAAACAAAGCAGAAACACGGTAGTGGTAGTGTGGGAAGCAAGTATCAAACTATTGATCTGTGAATCGACGTTCCATTGTAGTGGCTGGTACTATATCAAGCTCACATAAGTTATTCTAGCTTCTGGACAGACCAATTTATTCATTTTTCTCAAGCTACATTCCGACCTTTTCAATCACTCACTTATTAACACTGTTTTTTGTATTATCGTATGCGTGTTAGTTACTTACCCTATTCATTACGTGTTTGTAATTTATTTACCTGAATATAAATATTGAGTCACGCTTGATCAAAACAAGTTGGCTCACTTGCCCTCTCTGAATCATTTCGTTTTCCAATTTCCAATGGCATTCACCGCTTCACTTTCTCCACCTTGTTTCTTTGATTGTCTCTCTAGATGAGTGAGTATATAAAAAATACGTATTCAAAATTTATTCTTGTGTTTGACTTAGTTCATTCCGTTATTCTCTAACGCAAATTAAGGCGATAAAATATATGAGGATATCCGGGATGTATATTTCGATAACAATCAGAATACAGATTAACTGGAGTCAGAAACTGGGCCACTCAACCATCATTGTTTTGTGATTTTAATGTAATGGCTGATTTTAAAGTTTAACTAAAAAGATTGTGAAATCTTTTAATCTGCATTATGTCCTAACTTATTCTACTTATCGCTTTTTGGTAAAATTATTTATAACTCTTCACGTATTTTATTTTAGTAAAAAAAATATAAATATATATATTCATCATGGCTAAAGTCGGTCGAGGTTTGCAAATACCACTTTCATGGATTCCAGGACGTGATGGATTTTGTCCAGCTGGTGCAGTTTCCGTTGATAACATATGTGTAGCACGAAGTAAACACAGTGGGGAATTATTGCCTGGAAAATTAGTACCAATGAATGGGAAATGTTACTGTCCTTATGGTGGAGCAGAATTAGAATCTTACGATTATGAAGTATTGTGTGAAAGTTTTATTCCTGGTTCTTGCAAAGGGTAAATTAATGATTGTTTTCAGATATATATATATATATATATATATATATATATATATATATATATATATATATATATATATATATATATATATATATATATATATATATATATATATATATATAGTTATTGTTGTAAATGTTCACAGATTGAATATTCAGTATAAATAACTCTTATCAATTGGACGTTTTGGTCACACAGTGAATTTGACTTGTTGTTTAAATCGATTAACCATTCTATAGGTTTATAAACAATATAAAGTTTAAGTTCGTCATTTACAACCCACTAAACTCTTATTAGCAAATAAAAGGAGTCCTTGCGTTTTATTTAATAGAATATATATATATATATAATGTACATATTACTGAATGCCAAGTTGTACATGATGCATTAAACCCTGATGACATGATGGATGATCTAATGGTGCATTGTACTGACAAATCAACTCACAAAATGTATTGTGAACATGGATGTAAAAGTTGATAATAAGACTGTCATTATGAATTATAAACCTAACATTCAATTATGAAAATACATTTGTCAGGTGATATGTAAAACAAACCAAATTATTGAGTAATAAATTTGGAAGTTCTCTTGTGGCATACATAACACAAATACGAACGTAAAACATTGGATTAAATAGATTAATTTATTTGAGAATACTTAACTTGTAAGAAGTACCCACTTTTCTAAACATGAAATTCGTAAGTAAACAGAATATTCAGTGAACATATAGATATGAATATTACGACACTTTCTAGTCTTTTCCAGTTCCATTGAATATTAAAAAGAAATAATGAATCATAGAAAAGATGTCATTATTTTCTTGGTGATTTGACAAAACTTAAATTAATAATTTTCTTCATATCACTATAGCAATGTAAATTGTTCTTACAGATATCGTTGGGAAAGAGCATTTGACGGTGATGTTCCAAAAAATGCAATTGTTGCTGGAATAGCTAAAGATGGTGAACCATTGTACATTGTAAAAGGTGTTGTGAATGATGAAACATGTTTTGGAAAGGTAAACAACTACCTATATATTTAATTGAGATCACAAATCGATGCAAGTCAAACTACCATTGAAAACCTGGAAGCACTATACCGACATTTTGTCTTGTCATGTGACTCCTCAATAGTGAATGTCTACAATCGTGAATTGATTAAAGTTGGACGTGAAATTGTGAACGGCAATGAATGAGCATTCTCTCAAGAAATTGAAACTTATGGGTTCGATTTCCGGTTATTAGGTCGTGGGTGATCACTACTGAGAAGTCCCATAAGAGGACGAAACGTTCGTACAGTACTTCCAGGTTTTCAATGGTTGTCGATCTTAGATCTCCTTGCGATTTCAGTGAAATTCAATAATCTCTATAACCCCTCACTTGTAGCTGTACGTCTTTTTAAAAATAATTTTCAGATACTAAAATTGCCAGTCTAGAACTTACTAGTTATTAGGTTTCTGTTAACCATTTTTGCTTACTGTTGTGCTTCAAACTGAAACAAATACTAAATATTTATGCTTTGCTTGAGTGTAGAATCACAACAAAAGCCTACTTCTACTTTTAAATTGATACATGGTTATAAAATAAGAATATTCATCTGACATTTTCATAAGTTTCAGTTCATTCAGTTTTTTACAATTGATGTAGTAATGTGACACTACAGCACAGTGATTACAGATTTACTTCATATTTAAAGAAATTATCAGAATGCAAATTTTAGTTAATGGATTATCAACCTCAATACTTAAATGTCTTATTCAACAGCATGTTACTACGAAAAATAAATCATGCAATTAGGAATGTGTTTTAAATTGTTAAAACGCTGTCTTTTATAGTTTCTAACAAAAAAAAGAAACACTAACCCAGTAAAATGGTCTCAACAAACTATAATCATCGAAGTCAACTATAATAATTTGTGATGACTTTTCCTGGCAAATATCCCTTTAAAGGATTCCATACTTTTATTAACAAACTAAGCAAACAATTGAATTTCAGAGGAATATGAGTAGTTTCCACATTTCATTAGTCTAGTAGTATGAAAGCATTTTAGTTTATTTCCAAATCGAGTTGTTGGTTTCAATGAACTAAGAACACTCACATATATGAATGGTTCTGTTTCAATGGCAAACCAGTTAGAGATATAGTAAATTTCTAACCTAATGAAATCGAGTATGGAACAAGAACCCTAATGATATTTTTACAAAAAAAACTGAATTTAATTCTTCATTTACTCAAGTCCTTAAGCGAATAGTAGTGGTCCTTACAATGTATTATCATCTGTCAACTAGTCTAACTATTTAATGTAACTATTATCTGGTCCTTGGTGCTGATAAAATTCCGTCGATCAAGTTACAATATGGTTACTTGTCGAGGTGACCCCACATTACGTACACTACGTTTTTGTCCACTACTTGGTGATCAATAAGTATGAATGCCTTGTGGATGAGTGACAGAACGAAACCTACTTCGAATAAGGTTCTCTATCAGCAACATCCAAGCATTAAACATTGTGTTTGTGGTGAAGTTCCGTTCTCTGAACTGTATGGTTTAATTGTGGAGGCTTCGTTGTACTTCCGAACAACAACGAAGGCATTAAAACTAAATCATCCAGTTCAGAGAACGAGACTCTATTCAAATTATCCACCTGAGCTATAAATTTTCTAAACCATTTTGATTATTCATTATTTAAACTACAGGGATGATTGACCGATCAACTGGTTGGTTAGCTGACTAAATACAAATGATTCCTTCATGTTATGCATCCATTCTTGACCTTTTTATCTTCATGTGTATATTTCAGCTACACGAAGGTCATTCATGTGCCTACTTACCATGGGGTGGTAAGGAATATTCAGTCAGTGAATATGATGTACTTGTGTGGCAGAAACATTGAGATTTAAATTTTTTTAAATACTCTTTTATACCGGAGACATCATGAGCTTCATACATCAGGTGTTCTTTTCTTTTTTTTCCATGCCATTTTTTTGTTTTCAATCTTTGAAAATGTGTGAAAATATTACATCTTTACACAGTATTAATCTATTATCTTATTACTGAATCTACTGATGAATCGTGATATCCGGGGAAACGAATGGGAAACATTTGGTTAGAGCACATATATACAATATTTATTTAATAAAAACAAATTTATTCTAGTTTATATATTATATAACATTAAATTATAAACGTATGATGAGTTCCTTTTCGAAGCGAAGTACTATGATTGAATGTTTCATAAAATGTAGATAAATAAATCTCGTAGACCAGTATGAAGATTAATAGACTAGTAAAATGATTTTATATTAAGGTGATCGTATTCATGAATTACCATTCTAGGATATGTTGTAAAGTTGTTAGTTTTGTTATCAAGGTGGAGTGTATTGAAAGGAAATGAATGATTATTTCAAAGGACACTAAATAGCGTATGCTTTATAACATTCAAAATGCAAGGTGAAACAATGAAAGAAGAAAGTTTAAATGCCTGAACATTTTGAAACAAATTTTGAACATTCATTGTCGTAGATTAATGTTTATGCCACTAAACGTTTACTAACTTTTCTGTAATCGCATTGAGGAAGATTGACAATGAAAGATGAATTGTTGTTTTTATTACCACGACGTTGAAAATATAATTAATAGATTGTGTATATCTTTAACTACAGATAAGATATGGAAAATGAAACTACTGTTTCATTATTTGTATTTCCAAGTGACAACATTCCCGACATTTCTACACCACAGGAATTTCGTTTTCACGTATGAGAAGTGTACCATGTTCTTTGAGATTTTCACTTACATGTTTAGTAGTTGAAAGCAAGTTCATGCAAGCTTTTCGACAGACTGCAAGTTTTGTTGTGATTCATTCTATTCGTTAACTGTCATGTTGTTGTCTTAGATTTAATGGAGTTGATGAATATTGTAATTACTGTTAATTCTATCGGAGTGTTCAACTAAATGTATGAAGTGAATAAGAAATTGGTGTGCAAAATAACGGTTATATATACGGTTACAATCTTCAGCTCGTGAAATACTCGTGGTGGTCAGCACGACTGTATGCTCGGAAAGAAAAAGACTTCCTGTAATAATAATATAAAGAATAATTATAGCATACGAGAACGTTAATGACAGCTAGTCGTTCTATCTAAATTCATTCATGATTATCAGGCATCAATGTGAATACTAAAAACACATAAATATGAAAGCTGTTGTGTTTAAGGGATTTAAAAATTTCTGGAAATCAACTGGTTACTGTATATTAACAAGTAGTGTCAATTAATATACGAAAAATCAGTTGATTCAGGAGAAAATAAAAAGATAATTAAATTCACTTGGTTTTGTTTACTTGTATCTTCCAATTGTTGTTTAGGACTTCAATTGATCAGTTTCTTGTTGGCATATATACATCCTGTGTGAATTGCCTCGATATTGCCTCAAATTATGAGCTTTATAAGCAAAGATGGTTAGTGGCTAGTTTCGTCCCATTTGGGATTCGTCGGCTGGATGTACCTGCATCCCAGAGTTGGTGTTCACTCCGGGACTCGAAAACAGTAGTGTTCGCTTCAAACGCCAATTATTGTACGGTTTTCGTGATTCCCCACTCACCGTTGACGAAAAACTTTAGAAATAAGTGATCGATTAACTTGGTTTTGAATGTGTATGCTCATGTGACAATGAACAAACGTTTTGTCCACATAGTTCCCTTTATTATCTTAAAGACGGCAAGAACGAAGATTGGTGCAGAATAATATGAATTCATTTTATTTCGTGAAGTTCTCATCAGCTGCTTATAATCTAAAATACTTGAAAATCAACGTTATTACAGATATTAATGTACGTATACATACGAGGGTGATTAAATATGAATATATGTATCATGATTTCAGTAGAGTTCATAAGGTCATTAATAAGGTCATACGCAGAAACTTTTTTTATGGCCTTATGAACTCTATTGAAATCTTCACTAAGCCATGATACATATATTCATCTTCAATCACCCTCGTATGCATACGTATGTTAATATCTGTAATAACGTTGATTTTCACATATTTTAGATTATAAGCAGTTGGTGAGAACATCACGAAATAAAATGAATTCATATTATTCGGCACCAATCTTCGTTCTTGCTGTCTTTAAAACATTTTGTCTTCTGTAATAATTTGTTAATTGGCTGTAAACTGTGCATCTTTGTAATCTGATTATTTCAAATCTAAGTAGTATAAAGTGATTTGATTGAATATGATGATTTACATTTTTACATTTGAATTTTATTTTGAATAAATAATTCTGTCTGACTGTTCCATCCGAGTTTCGATAACAATTTTAACTTCTGAAAAAAGACACCAATTGTGTTTGACCACCCTGTGAATGTGTATCGAGATAAGCGTTTCTCGATCAATTAGAAATGGAATTAGTTTCGTCAGCGTTCACTTCTGCATTAGTGCGTGTACAGTAGGCCTGACCTAACATTTACAATACAAATAAGCACACTGCTTACCAGGAAGGTTGGCTTGTGAGAACACTTTGTGGTGTATGTTATAAAAGATATTGGGGATTCAGGCATTTTCCATAAGATTGAAAATCTAAGTGCACAATATTGGAGGCTGCTGTCCCCAAACCAGCAGGTGTCTCACTGTTTCAGTCTCCTCGTCAGTTAGCATGCGCATTCACGAATTGTTGTCGTACCTCAAGGGATTGCACTCATGATTGTGATGCACATTACCACACAGTCCAGTAACCCTCAATAAATTTACAATAGATGGAGGATGGGCATTGAATGTTGATTGTAGACCTTCATGAACATTATGATAACATTATTCATACTACCTCATTCGTCTAATCGGCTGTAAGGATCCTCTTTGTGTTCTACAGCTGTTTCTTCAACATATAAATTTAATATACGACTTCCAATCCTCGTGGAAATAAGAGTCACATGCTGAATAATGGCATCACGTCACCCTTTCATTAGTTCAAATGGTGCTCTTTAACGCTTCAAGCGATTGGAACACTACCAGATACAACGTATTCAAGAACACGCTATCCGTGTTCGTGATAACGTTCGAGACGATAGAGCTTGTACTTTGTACGTTATTAACGTTCATAATTTGGAGAAAAGTAGATATGTCGAGAAGTAACTGGATTTTATATCAATTCTCAGAAATAAATAACCAATCATTACCTAAATTCACTTGATATTATTTGCTTGTATCTTGTAACATTAACTCTGGGATTCAGGTACATCCAGCTGACGAGTCCCGAATAAGATGAAACGCGCGTTGTGGATTCTACTGTTAACCACCATTCATCTTTGCTTATAAAACAATTATTACCTATTTAAAGCTAATTATTTAGTTGGAAGAAACGGAATGAGAAAATTTCAAAAATAGAATAGAACAAAATTTGTTTTAGAAAATACAAAAATCTTCGTGTGTCAAATGCGTTTGAATGCTGAGTTCGGGATCGTAGATGCACACTGCTGACTAAATGCCCACCTAGTACTTCCAGGTTTTCCAGAGTGGTTTAGTTTAAATCGACTCATGAATTCAACCATTAAATTACTACAATTTCCATAAACCCTCATTTTCAAAATGATATTCCATTAATTTTGGTTAAGAATAATATTAAGCTTGAATAACATAATTGTCAACTTTATCAATGATTCATTCATCTGTTAATATTTATTATAAGTACATAAAGGTTTGTAACTTGTATGCGGATAAATTATCAAACATACATTAGGCCATTTTTAGTAAGGAATGTTGAATGTTTATTAAGACAAAGTATTAATAACCATCATTCTTACTTACTATAGTCTTTAGTAATCTCGATAAATAAATTAGTGATGAGTTGTGTAGATTCATTTTACAAACTAATTCGTAACTATCTAATGAGATAAACTCATTATCATAATAGATAATTTGGACTAAAGTAAAATACTCAAATAAATTTCCATCTAGTCAAATAGAATGATTTACCTATAAATGGATGTTGTTTATTGAATAATAAGTTACAAGCACTCATTCGAGTCCTGGAATGAACTTTAATTCTGAGAAGCAAGTACATCCAGCTGACAAGTTCCAACTGGGACGAATGTTACGTACTGCATTCCATCACTAGTCATCAACCATCTTTGCTTATACTACTTGTGCCTTAATGACAATATCAAGGCAATCCTCACAGGATATACATATGCCAATAAGAAACTGATTAATCTCTGTCTTAAACATTATGGCGATAAGCATAACAAACTTATTTTGTAAATAGTTTTTGATATTATTTCCATTTATTTTTTTAATTCTCATAGTTTGTACTTTTACCACAAATGTTTGTAAACGTTGTTGTCTCCACTGTTGTTCTCTTTCACTACAATGCTAGTGACCATAATACAACTTTGTCGATAGAATTTGTTATGCTCTGATAGAACGAGTAAAACATCACTGTGATTAGCATTTAGTTATCAGTCAACTGCGAGTAATGTTTGTTCAATTAGTCTTTTGAATACATAAAGGAGTTAATTTTAAGCAATCAAAGAGAATAAACAAACAGCAGTTATTTTTAATTTCATTTTATTAAGAAATTTTTGTAATATGGTTTTGTTGTGATGTTTTTATTGATAATGTATATTAAGTTATTTTTTAATACGAAGAGATACACTTTCATCTATTTATTTTACTGTTCCTTCTAATTAAATGGAAACAATTATATAAGAGAGATAATCATTCGATGATCTTGAAGGTCAGAATAACAAAATCAGTTTCACTTTTTCCAAACTAAAACTTCATATTCTTTCACTGAGTGTTCTTTACCACCCCATGGTAAATATGCACATTCATGGCCACTATGTACCTAAATGATGCAAAAAGTTACGATTAAATAAAAGGACAATATTTCATTTATATTAAAAATAAACACACAATAATCTGAGTTGAATACATTATTGACTGACCTCAGACAAATACTGAAATGCAAGTAGCAGTGAAGCGCTATTTCCTCCTATAGTGAGACTCCTCGGCGATATGTAGTTAAGATACTATCTGGGGTCGAGAACAGTATATATATTTGTATTAAGGTCTCTCTAATTGCACCTAACCATTAAACCACTGAACTGATAGCCAATGCTTTATGCTTCCAACTTCACTCAATTCGGCAATTTTTCACAACCATCTTTCAACGTCATTGATGATGTTTATCCCTTACTCTACGCACCTGATGCGAATTATGAAATTCCTCAAGCCTCACAACATCGTGTAATGAGAATCAATATATGCTTACTTGTGATCAGATTCGTGATGTAATTCACGTAGTTGTATTAAAAACTCATCACCCGTAGAGTTCAGCCGTGACATAAGTGAATCAAACATCAGTTATAATGAATGATATGGAGAATCAGTTAGAGTTAAACATATAACATATTGACTTCTTACTCAGTGGTGTAAAGATCAAGCGTTCAACACGAAACTCAAATGTCCTGTTTTGATCCTCAGTGGTGTTCTGAATTCCCTCTGCTGAGATGTCTCATACTAGGAGAAGAGAGCTGTCCAATGTCCCCTAATTTTCACTGATTGTACAACTAAGTTCATTTAGTGATGTAAACTATAGAATTCAATATTCTCCATAGCACCATGATATGAATCTGAGTTTCATTCAAGTCCGTGGACTTCATGGTTCCAAACAGCTTTTTTATTTACAATACATCAATCGGTGCGAGACAGTGTGATACAATTGTTTGAAATGTCCAACATAGAAATTAAAAACATAACATCCAGAACATGGGATTGTGAAACGTTTAATAAAGATATGCAGATGTGATAATTTCGGGTGTGGTATGTGACATATGAAATGGTAAGTTAACTATAACATAATATATTTTTCATTTTCTATAGAGCTATTCATTCTGGATAGCATTTAATCAGTGTTCAACGTATATGGAATTAATCTGACCTTGCAGTTCATTAGCATAAGAGAATTCACTAAATGTCTTATTTAAATAGTTTCTTTAATCAGAGAAAACAGGATATAACACAAGTGGTTAGGTCTACTCACCTTTCCAACACATGGTTCTCCATTAATTGAAGATTTAGCTATGTATAGTGGATCATCACCTGACATGCCAGCAATGATCGAATTTTTCGGCACATCACCATATGATCCACGTAACCATTCATATCTATGCAGGATGAGAATAATCAACAAAGTATTTATGTTCCAGTTATCTAAACCTAATTGAACTAAATAATCAATTGATTGATGAGAAGAAAAAAAGACCAATATTGGTTTGGGAGACCCTTCAAAAATAACAGATTGAACAAATATACTCCTGATCTCAACTGTCCACAAAAACCCCTTCTGATACCAGTCAGCATATGCTCACTAGTGACTGGCTTCAATGGGTATTTCCTGGAGTTCTAGTGAGAAGCAGTCAACTGTGGAGTTCAACCGGGTCTGATGTGAGTGTTGGACGACGGCAAAATTTCGTGAAATGATTAAAGTTAGACATTAAGACAATTGGATAGATTAAGTATTCGTGAGCGCGACTGATAGGTCCTGGGTTTGAATCTCACAAGGCGGGATCGTGTATGCACACTGCTTATGAGTCTCATACTAGGACGAAACAGCCGTCAAGTGCTTCCAGGTTTTCCATGGTAGTTTAGCTTCAATTGACTCATGATCTCAATTATTGAAATTACCATAATGTCCACAAGAACCCCTTCTGACACAAGTATACATGTTGTTTATTTGAGTTTATCTTTGAAATGTATTAATTTATTTGTAGAGAACAAAATCTGAAATACTTTTCTATATAAAGTTAAACGTACATTTGTTCCTAACCAATAATATCAATTTGTAACTATTCGCGGCTTATAAGTACATGTTATTCATGCGTGAATATAACGACCACGGGGTTTCTTAAAATATAAGTTAAATATGATATGAGAAATTACATATAATGAATCACTTTTAGTGATATATAAACTTAAATATTATTATTTGTGTGGTTAGTTTCAGATTTATTATGGATATAATTAATGAAATTGAAATGACTGGGAACATTTTCTAATATTTCAAATATGTAGATACACTTTACAACAAACAAGCTATTAGGTATCAGTGTCATGGTTAGACTTGATAGTTTCAAATTAACTAAGCATTAGGTAGAAAGCTAACAGTAAATATACTTTTGTTATATCCCAATGAGTATAAAATAGTTGTATTTCTGACGTTTCGTGTCTTAATGTGAGCCACTTCTTCAGATAAAAGAAATACAATTTTTCTACTCATTGGGATATACCAAAAATATATTTATTTTAACAAGCTGTTACTGGTACTAAAATTAATATCTGTAAACATTGATAAAGCTGAAATTTGATGTTGTTCCATGAAACTGTGTGTCAAAATACAAAGTTAAAAACATCACTGAATAACATAAATCCTATGCGTACACAATTATTAAGAAAATTCAATATTTTTCAATGTATATATTACTTTGAGACCACTTTTCTTGAAACCTGTCTATCAGAAAATATTTCATTTTACAATATGTGATATGATATCTTATACCAAAAAAAAGATAAAATGTACCCTCGATTTCCTGAAAAAGAGGTATCACACAGCACTTCATATTCTCTTGTATTCTTTTCTTCACCACCATGTGGATAATAAGCTATATTATGTCCAGTTGCAGCTTTCCCAGGAATCCATTGACCATCGTGTTTGCAACGAACCACATAGATACCACGAGTAACACTGAGAGCATTATTAGGGACATTTCCATCCTTAGCAGGTACCCATGATAAAGGAATCTGAATCCCTTTGCCTATTTTAGCCATATGATCAAAAACCTCTCTACATTCGAACAGAAAGAAAAACACTTGATATGTTCTCAGTATATGTAATGGGGTAATCATGTGAAAAACGAATTATTTGAGATATATAATAACTTAGTGTGCGTTAGTAACTAACTTAAAGGGAGTTTTGGTGGAAAACCATGGCCAATAGAGTTTAAGCATTCTGAGGATGAGACAGTAGTACTATTAATAATGATTGTTGATAGCTTAATTTCGTAAAGTGATTGAAGTTAGAAATATAAACCAACGAATTTCAACTTAGTGGTCTAATAGTTAAGGGCTTGCCACAAAGTCTGAATGTTCATTGTTTGACACCTGGTTGGTGTTACCTATATGCCCAATACCAAGACGAAACAGTTATTCACTTTTTATATGTTCTCATTGGTAGTCTGAATAACATCAATTTTTGTTGTCAAACTGAAATATAGATAAACCGAATATAAATTCTATAAGTAGATTTAGTCAACCAGGAAATGTTTATTACTTATGGACAGCAAATGAATTAAATCTTATGTGTTATCACTAGTGATACGAGAAATACTGGTCTCATGTTCAAGCATTTATCTCATTTATATATTTTAGTATGGTAGCAGTATATATATGGAAGTAGTTACAACACAAACAGTAAACAATAGATAAACTAATGTGAATAAACAATCCATTTATCATTTGTTTTTACAACGTTTTCATTGACATGTAAATGTGTTTGTCTTGTTTTATCATCTAATATCAAACTAATGATATTCCCTGACTTATGCCATAAGTATGAATTTTATTTGTGACGATTTGTATATTTTCCGTTGTTTGTGTCTCAGTGTGAACATCGACACTAGGAAGCAGACGCATTAAACTGATGAGTAGCAAATACAAAGAAACATTCTGCCTGGATTGCAATTTTTAGCAGCTGTCTTACTAGAAACTTTCAATGAATTTTATTCGGTGCCTAATTTAGACATAAATTACTAATCGTCATATTGAAAATGCTATTTGTCAATCATTGTATGATCTAATAAAATTTTGATACATTAATGATTCAAATCAATTTTCAAAATATTTAATAGATTAAAAATATCACTTTGGGTTCAACCTCTGGAAGGGTCATCAGGGTGCACTGATGAAGAGTCATATACTGGGGTGAAACAACTGTTTACTGCTCCATGATTTTCAACTAACATCAACATGTAATAAATACTTAATACATAATAAAACCACCTTCAATAAAACCTCTTTAACGAGATGAAATATTTACTCTAAACATGTAAGTAAGTAAATGGGATAAACTATTGTAAACATATCAGTGATTATCAGGAGGGGTTTTGTAGAGATTTTAGAAATATCATTGATTTAAATCATGAGTCACTTGAAGCTAGAACACCATGGAAAACCTGGAAGCACTGGACGGCCGTTTCGTCCTATTGTGGGACTCCTCAGCAGTGCGCACCCACGGCTCAGTGGTGTAGTTGGTTAAACGCCTGGCGCGAGACTGATAGGTCCTATGTCCGAATCTCGCGAGGTGCGTGATCGTGGATGCGCACTGCTAAGGATTCTCGTAGTAGGACGAAACGGCCGTCTAGTGCTTCCAAGTTTTCCATGGTTGTCGAACCTCAATTGACTCATGATTTTAATCAGTGAAATATCAGTGATTACTTGTATTAGCAATTATTCTAAACTAACCATTAGATTGAAAGATATACTATGAAAATGAAATGTGCAAAACTAATAACATACCTTATTGCTTAATGATACCCAAAACACAGAGAACTTATTTAGTAAAATATATATTTATAATGGAATTCTATTTACTGTCTACCATACAATCATAACACCACATGACTGTTACAAACATAGACATGAAAAGTTAGTTATTTAGGTGTTATACATTAAAAATAAGTTTTGTCGAGTTCAACCACATTTATTAAACTAAATCTACCATCTTTTTTTTGTTATGATTCATCTGCACATCTATAATTGTTAATTTACTTAGAATAGAATACACAGATAAACACAAATGGATTAATCAAGAAGTACTTTTACATGTGTTGTTGTTGTTGTTATTTCATTGTATTATTTGATTTCTTGAGGTAAATGTTGACCTTGGTTCTAATATCAATGCATATTTCATTAATTTAACTATATTGAAAGAAAAAGCTCAACTTTAAAGAACATTCATAATTAAGTAAAGTTAATGTGAATCTTTATGTATTGAATAATTAGAATATACCATAAGTTTATGAATTGAGTTCTTTATTAATTATTCTCGTGTTTAAAACACGCCATTGTTCAATAAATCTAATGTGCGGTCATCTATTTTAATTAGTTAGTTATAATCAACATAGAACATGACAGAAATGTACGTTGGTTGAAGTTGTCAAAGCCTGCGAAACCATAATGAGTTGAAATGAATAAAACGAATAGTGAAAGAATCCAAACAGTGTTATGGAAATGATGATAGGGAAGACAAAAATATTGAGAAGGTGGTAGGAAGAATATATATATATGGAAGAGTCCTGGAAAATATAATCTAGATTATGATCAAAGTGAATAGTTCTGTGCAATTATGATGGATTCTGGATTATATCACTCAAAGTCTAAAATTACTATATTTATTTTCACTATACTTTAGAACCTTGATAATATGTATATTCCATATACATAGAGCTGAGCTAGTTGACAAAAATAGAAATTTGAGATTCTGAGTTTTAATTATGTAAAATAATGTTCGCTTTTACAATGTATGCAAATAACCATGTAGTTGACAAGTTGTATCTCATTCTTTATGGGTTAATTGCTAAGGAATTCATTCGGAAATCATTATCATTAGGTTAAATACAAGCTGTAGAACATTATCTATTCCATAATACAATAGTTAACTAATAATACTGATGATCTTATGAAAGTGAATGTCACTTCAGTGATTATTTGTTTTATGGGTTTAGCTAATTTCTTGGTAGCTTTCTTATCGTGAACATACGCCATGTGGAGAAAAATCAAAACTCATACAAGCTAGTAAATCCTTATAAATTCACTTCGGTGTAAAATCAATGATATTGTTTTTCAAATGATTGTACCCAGTGTAGTTAAACAAGTGATGGACGGATGGGAGTTTAATGGTCAGAGGTTAGGTGTTCCTATGTAAGATAGGAAGTTCTGAGTTTTATTCCCGCCTGCAAGACTGTAGATGCTCACTGCTGAGGAGTCCAATTGTAGAACGAAAGAGACGTACAGCATATCCTGGTTTATGATGGTGGTCTAGCTAAGATCAGGTCGTGATTTAAACTACAAATACTGCTATGTCCATAAATCTTCCCAGGATAATAAAATAAACGATTTTTACAATCGCACGATATAAGCAGACCTCAACATACACAAGGGGAAAATCAAGGTCCTCAAATACAACACGGAGAATACCAACCAAATCACACTTGATGGTGAAACTCTGGAAAATGTGGAATCCTTTATGTACATGGCAAGCATCATCAATGAAAAAGGAGGTTCAGATGCAGACGTAAAGACGAGGATTGGAAAAGCAAGGTCCGCATTCCTACAGTTGAAGAACATATGGAAATTAAAACAACTTTCAACCAATATCAAAGTGAGAATCTTTAATACCAACGTCAAGGTAGTTCTACTGTATGGAGCTGAAACTTGGAGAACTACAACAACCACCATCAAGAAGGTACAAGTATTTATAAATAGCTGTCTACGCAAGATACTCAACATCCATTGGCCGGATACCATCAGCAACAACCTTCTGTAAGAGAGAACAAATCAGCTTCCAGCTGAGGAAGAAATTAGGAAAAGAAGATGGAAATGGATAGGAAATACATTACGCAAATCATCAGACTGCATCATGGGGCAAGTGCTAACTTGGAATCCTGAAGGGAAGCACAGTGCGTCAGGAAATAGAAGCAGATATGAAGGGGATGAATAACAACTGGAAGGAGCTGGAAAGGACTGCCTAGGACAGGGTTTGATGGAGAATGCTGGTGGGTGATCTATGCTTCTCCACGAGGAGTAAGAGACGTAAGTAACGATATGGGTTATTTAAAAATATTTCATTAACGTTATGATTAAACAGGTTTTGAGTGACATTTTGCTGCATTGGTCTAAAAACAAATTCTTTTCTGGACAGGCACGTTTAACATATTTTTGTCATAGGAAAACAAGTGACAATTATTTATCTACACTAGTCTATTGGAGACAGGATCTTTGTTTTGAAGTGAAACTTCATAAAGTACGCTTTATTTTCGGTAATTTTTTTTCAGCTGAATGGTGTAATCATGAAACTCCCATTGTCCTTCTGAACAGCATGATCAGCACAAAACTTCAGGTGGAGATAATCTACTTTAATTTCTATACTAAATGACTGACGACTTAATCTGTCGATATTGATTTTGACTGGTTGTTGTTGTTGACGTTTGCCCTATCATTATTTGCATATTTATTTTGATTGATTTCTCATTTTGATCTGATTTTCGATTATATGATTTTTCTTACTGGCCAATAAATTAGGTTAGTTTCGATGTTTGCCCCGGTTACTAATTGATCTGATTATCAAGCTTAAAAAATTCCTTAGTTTTTCTGATACCAATCTGTCCAAAATTTAAACATTTCCCCTGTCAAAAGTGTGTCCTCAATCGTCCAATTGTTCATTTAGACGAAGTTGAAAAGGATGATCATTTTGTCAAATGTAGTGTTTTATGTAACTGGAATAACTTTTCTGGTTTATGCGCTAATATCTATTCCAACCAGCCTCTATAATATTGTAATTTCTGATATATCCTTTATATATGGTAGGTTGATTAGTTGATTAATTTTCACATTTGATTTCGTCTTTATTGATGAGATTAAATGATATTTTTCGATGAAGTTGCGTGGATAGTTGTTCTTTTGAAAAACAATTAGGGCAAACATCAATAACAATCAGTTAACACTAATGTTGATAGAACAAGCTGTCAGTCATTTAATGTGAAAATTCAAGTAGATTACATCCACCTGAAGTTTGTGTTAATATTGTTATCTAAGAAGATATAGCATAGCACATCATCCAGTTCAAAGTAAGCTCTACATAAACGATTAATCTTCACCATTTCGATATACGTTGGACCAGTATGTTATAGTTTTCATATTATCATAAATCAATGAAAATAGTAATGTTTATTCAATCATAAGAAATTGCTTATTATTTTTGAGGGTTTTTACTGGTAAAAAATGATTTTTTTTTAAAAAATATACCAACCGAATAAAGTTGATGAATATCAACATTTACATGAATAACATACTGACATTTGAAGCAAATGTTTACTCATTTGAAGTGTCAACATGAATATTCATACTTAAGATCCAAGGAAATTCAGATAATATCGTTTCAATTACAGATCAAAATATAAATCTTCTATAAATTCCTTCTATTTATCACCATGTTTAATAATAGATAATGTAATATTATTATAAAATAAAGTACATTGAACTTTTGTTATTATTTCACAGATTAGATATTATTTCTATTATTAAAACAAAAGAATTTAAGCATAAGGAATGTTATTATTAAATTTAGTTTACTTTTATGCTTTGAATTAACAAAGAAAACAGTAAATACAATAATAATAATAATAGTAATGATACACTATGTATATTAATACAACATAGAAATAAACATTTAGAATAGTATGAAACAGATCATTCTTATCTAAGTAATACGAAACTATATACGTATTTCTCTTTTGTTTTCATTTTAATTAGTTAGTTAATATTAAGACATAATTATATGTATCAGAAAGGTTTTTGTGGAACTGAGGAGTCTCACAATAGGACGAAACAGTGGTCCAGTGATTTTAGGTTTTCCACGGTGGTCTAGCTTCAATTGACTCATGATTTTAATCAATGATATTTCTAAAATCTCCACGAAACCCATTCTGATAAATTTTATGATGACAAGTTATTTTTGACTGATTTCAAATGAGTTTTTTAACAATACAATTTAGGTATTTGTTTGGCATGTACATCGATGATTCATTAATAATTTTATTAACCTTGAACTTGTACTTTTAGTTATTTATTCCTTCATAAATCACATATCAACACAAAACATCAATAATTAATCTCACGCCTACTTACATTCCAACACACTCACACATATACAATTTGTTTATTCAGTTAATTATTTTCATAGATTGAAATCATGAGTCAGTTGAAGCTAGACCACGAATCGCGCGGGGTGCGGGATCGTAGATGCGCACTGCTGAGAAGTCCCATACTAGGACAAAACGGCCGTCCAGTATTTCCATGTAGTCGAGTTTTTGACATGATCTGTAGTTACCTGACTCATATTAACCTATTTTACAAAAATCTACATCCCAATTTGACTAGTGTAACACAGTATAGTTATGATTGATAAAAAGCTATATAATTCTTTGATGATTTTGATTATTATCCTGAAGAAGTCCAGACAAGTTAGCTGGACGAAACGTTGGAATTATTTAAATTTCAATCGCTGAGATTATTTCAAATATAATTTTGACATATAATGACTTCTCTTTACTCGGTGCACAATTTCTGTCAAAGTATTCGTTCTAATCTTGACGAATATTCGTATAAATAAATGAAGATAGTTTACAGCATGAACTAACTTTTTGAAGACCAGCATTCAGAATCACAGAACATTGAGCAGCTCATTCGTTTCAGTTTGTGACTTGGAAGCAGTAAGAAATCAAAATGGTCGCTGGCATTATTGGTACCTCGATCGCATT